GCATTCATATATACTTCCATCAAGGAAAAGGTTCTATAGCTTAATAAAAATTCTTGAAAACTACAAAATCAGATGAATTATTAAAATCCCTTGAAGACGTTAGATTCCAAAAGTCCTGAGAAACAACTTATAGACTGTAAAACCAAGAAAAGGTTTTTAAGTTAAAATTAAGGGTTTTAAGTTAAAAATTTAAAGTTTTTACCCCAAAGCTAGTATACAAAGCATATTCAAAGAGTTCATGGTGAGTAAGCACAGAATTAAATTTTTTTAAAAAAGAAAAAGAAAAAATTCATGGAAAATGAGTATTATGAAAAAACTATGCATGGATCCCAAATTTTTTTTTTAGCATCGAAATAAACTCATACTAACTTGTTATAATAAATCTGAACAGCATCTAGTTTGAGGCACTAAGGACAAGACATCAGTTTAAAAAGAACCCCTATCAGAGCAATATGAATTTTGCTAAAATTGAAGCTAGGGCAAATATCCAATTCATAGTGAAGTTTGAATCCACTATGGAAGATCACCGATGCTTTACAAAAAGTTCATGGCGACAATGCCTCAAAGAAATCAGCAGTTTACAAATGGATCACCTGTTTTAAGAACGGACAAGATGACACTGAAGACGCCATAGCAGCGGAACATCCACATTAATTTTGGAGGAAAAAATTAATCTTGTCTATGCGCTGACTGAAGAACAGCCAACGATTAATAGCAGAAACAACAGTAACACCACAGACATCTCAACTGATTCGGCTTACACAGTTCTGAGTAAAAAATTAAAGTTGAGCAAACTTTCCAATCAATGGGTGCCAAAACTATTGAACCCAGATTAGCTGCAGACAAGAGCAGAGCTTTCAATGGAAATCTTAAGCAAGTGGGATCAAGATCCTGAAGTATTTCTCAAATAACTGTAACGGGAGATGAAACACGGCTTTACCAGTGGAATCTTAAAGGCAAAGCACAAAGCAATGGCTACCAAGAGGTGGAAGTGGGCCAGTCAACGCAAAAGTGGACCAGTCAAGAGCAAAGGTCACGGCAACGATTTTTTTGGATGCTCAGGGTATTTTGCTTGTCAACTTTCTAGGGGGCCAAAGAATGATAATAGTGTTTTGAGAGCTGGGCACAGTGGCTCACACCTGTAATCCCAACACTTTAGGAGACTGAGGCAGGAGGACCACTTGAGTCCAGGAATTGAGACCAACCTGGACAACATAGGGAGGTCCTGTCTCTACCAAAAAAAAAAAAAAAAAGCTAGGCATGATGGCACATGCCTGTAGTTTCAGCTAACTTGGGAGGCTGAGGCAAGAGGATTGCTTAAGCCCAGGACTTCAAGGCTGCAGTGAGCTATGATCATTCTACTGCATTCCAACCTGGGTGACCAGGCAAAAAAAAAAAAGAAGATAAAAAGAAAGAGAGAGCGAGAGGCCGGGCACAGTAGCTCATGTCTGTAATCCCAGCACTTTGGGAGGCCAAGGTGGACAGATCACCTGAGGTCAGGAGTTCGAGACCAGCCTGGCCAGTATGGTGAGACTCCCATCTCTACTAAAATACAAAAAAATTAGCCAGGCATGGTGGCGGGTGCCTGTGGTCCCAGCTACTCGGGAGGCTGAGGCAGGAGAATCGCTTGAACTTGGAGGCAGAGGTTGCAGTGAGCTGGGATCATCCCATTGCACTGCAGCTTGGGAGATAAGAGCAAGACTCCATTTCAAAAAAACAAAAAAAAAGTGTGCATGTATAGTAGTTTTGAGAAAGTTGGCCAAAGCTTTAGCAGAAAAAGCTCTTCTCTACTATGACAATGCTCCTGCTCATTCCTCTCATCAGACACAGGCAATTTTCTAACAGTTTCCATGGGAAATCATTAGGTATCCACCTTACAGTCCTGATTTGGTTCCTTCTACCTTCTTTTTGTTTCCTAGTCTTAAAGTCTTTACTGGACACCAAATTTTCTTCAGTTAATAATGTAAAAAACCCTGCATTTATATGTTTAAATTCCTAGGACCCTCAGTTCTTTGGGGATGGACTAAATAGCTGTTATCATCACTTACAAAAGTGTCTTGAACTTGATGAAGCTAACTTTGAGAAATAAAGTTTATCTTATTTTTTATCATATATATTTATACATATATAGCCTCTCTGTGTCGCCGTGGCTGGAGTTCAGTGGCGCGATCTCAGCTCATGCCAACCTCCCCCCCTCAGGTTCAAACAATTCTCCTGCCTCACCCTCTTGAGTAGCTGGGATTACAGGTGTGAGCCACCACACCCAGCTAATTTTTGTTTTTTTAGTAGAGATGGGGTTTCACTATGTTGGCCAGGCTGGTCTTAAACTCCTGATCTCAAGTGATCTTTCCGCCTCAGCCTCCCAAAGTGCTGGGATTACAGGCTTTGAGCCACTGTGCCTGCACCTTTACTTTTATCTTTTAATTCCATTTTTCCACGATATTTTGAAGTCCCCTCATATTTATACTCCACCTACTTTTGAATTTGTGAGGGCTGTTACGAGTATAAAATGTAATATGCCACAGAGTGATAATTATTTTAAATTTAACACTAAAAAACACACACATAAAACAAGACTAGATTTCTTAGCCACGGGGGAACACTGAGAAGTAGTATTTTTTCATCAAAGGGATTTTTTTTAAAGTCACATATATTGTATTCCTCTCCCCTTAAAAATGGTGACATTCATTTTTAAAATTTACTAAGTAGTCACTCTCCATTCTGCACTGAGCTCAACATTTTTGAGAGTTACAAAGATAAATCAGACATGTCACCTTCAGTTTTAAAGGTGACATGAAACATTTATCAAATTAAATGGGTAGAAAGAGGTAAAAGTGCCAAGAGAAGAAACAAGGGAGTGAGAGGTGAAGAGCTAATGTAAAGGAGCTCAGAATGGGAGAAACAACTTCCCACCGCAGGTCGAGGGGACTCTTAACAGACACTGCCTGAAAATGGGGTCCTACAGGGAAGGGACAAATAATCTCTCTGCATTCTGATATGTGATTATTCAATTATTAAACAGAGTTCACAATTTAGTAGGAGAAAAGGATCAGCAAAACAAGCACCTAATATACAATGTGTTAAATATAATAATAAGCACGTGCATAGTATTAATCAAGGAGGAGGGATACATTTTCTTAGGGTAGTGAGGAAAGCAGGCAAGAGGGGAGGAAGGAAGGAGGAAAGGTGACTCAGGCAGGGCCTTGAGGATGAGCAGCAGTTTGATGAAAGAAAAGGATATGTCAGGTAATGAGAGAAATGGGCAAGGGCTTGGAGAAGTGAAAGCACATGGCACCTTCGGGGACTGACCGTGGGGGAGTTAGGAGATGACTGAAGATGGGAGTGAAAATGAGGCCAGGGCAGGCCGTGAGCTTTATAACCCTTGCCAAGGAGTTTGGCTTCATTACAGTAGGTACAAAGGCTTTCGGCAAAGAATGATGTCACATAAGCACTATGAGACTCTTTCTAATATTAACATTTCTAAAGTTGCCACTGGCTCCAAAAACATATATGAGATCATTAATTCTAGGACATCTAGAAATAACTCCAAAGGTCCTACTGGCCTATAGGCCATGATTCCAGTTAAGAGCTCCCTGAGGGCAAGTACTATTTACTATTTATTTGTTTTTGATCTCCAGAGAACAGGATATAGTGGAACCAACAGGAATCTGTTTGTGATTAGGAATGACAGAACAAATGATGGCTCCTAGGTTTCTGACCTGATTATCTCAGTGGGTTGCCAACGAGAAGGATATAAGGTTAATTTTGTTCTGTTTTTTTTGAGACAGGTACTCACTCCATCATCCAGACTGGAGTGCAGTGGCATGATCATGGTTCACTGCAACCTCGACCTACTGGGCTCAAGCAATTCTCCCACATCAACCTCGCAAGTAGCTGCAACTACAGGCTCACACCACCATGCCTGGCTAATTTATTTTTATTTTTTGTAGAGACAGGATCTCCTTGTTTTGCCCAGGCTGATCTTGAGCCCCTTGAGTTCATGATCCTCTCACCTCAGCCTCCCAAAGTGCTGGGATTATAGGCATGTGCTACCATGCCCAAAAGTTACAAATTATGTTCAGGAGATGTTAAAAAATCTGCCATAAGGAATCAAAACATGGGTGTGGGGTTCTGAAAAGAGGCCACAGCTCTAGATATTAATTTGAGCATCACGGTGTATGGTATACTGGTGAAAGCTGAAGCCACATGGCTGGATGAGGTGACCAAGCATGAATGGGGTCCAACTGAGAATCTAGGAATTCCAGGGTAAAGTTGAGAATAAACAGAGACAGAGAAATAACATTCAGAGAAGAAAAAGGAAAACAGGAGAGGCGTCATATGACTCTAAGAGGTACATATTTCAAAAAACGTGTAGTATGGTGCCAAATGATCATTAAAAGGTCAACTGGTATGAAGACTGTAAAGAGGCTACTGGATTTGGAAACAGGGTAGTCACTGATTAACTTTCACTGGAGTGGGGAGTGGATAAAAAATAAATTGGGTTGAAGAGTAAATGGAAAATGTGAAAGAAGAGACAGTGAGTATAGATCACTGCTCAAAAAGTTTGGCAATAAAAGGAAGGGAGTGAGATATGTTAGCAGTTTGACAAGTAGGTTGAAAGAAGTATGCACATTTTGTGCATTATCTGTTTTATATGACTTGTGTCTAGAGACTTTGAGAACAAGTACTGCCTTCAGTATTATTATAGCATCTACCAGTTTATATAACAAAAACAATAGCATTACTAAATATTTATTTAGAATGCAAAATATAATACCTCGTACAGGCCACTAAATTATACTTATATTCCTAGAATAAAAGAAGGAGCACTAGACTAAATCAATTAGTCATAAAATGCAAATCATTTATCTGCATGGGGTGACTGTTAAAAAGAGGCCATGCCCTATTATACAATTTGACAGGCTCTGTGAGCAACACTGGGGATGTTGTAAGATGTTACCTTAATTCCTTCACCCTGGGCTGCACAAGGACATACTCACCTCCATAGTAGAGTCCTGTAGCAGTGCACATCCGCCACTGTCCCTGATACATTCCTGCTCTGCTGGGGCTGCACATCTGGACGCTGACATCTGCAATCTCTTGGGGCTCTAGCGATCTCACCATCACCATGTTCACATGTCCAAATTGGTCTCCCCCGACATATTTAAGACAAACCCCTGGAGGCCAGGCCTCTGCCCCTGAGTTCAAGCAAAAGAAAAAAATGTTAGGCAATCAATGGTCCTATGCTGGGTGTAGTTTATTATGAAACTATGTAGAAGAGGCCTCTTTCTTTGTCTCACATACATACATAAACCTAACCACATACACCTGAGCCAAATTATTGTCTCACACAACTGATCAGAAGAATTATCAGAACCAACAACCTCTGACCAATAGTTTAACCCTATGAAGAAGCACATAAGGCAACGCAAGGCAGTTCGTCAAGACAACATGTGTTTCAGGTGACCACAGGGAAGGCCACACATCACACTGAATCTGTAGAACCTAAGAATGATGTCCATGAAGAGCCATGGAGATGAAGCACAGGCCACGTTTAGGGAACATCTCTCTCTACTAAAAGGTAACACATGTCCATTTTCACAAACAAACTGATTGTTGCCAGTTTTTTGCACAGAAACAAGAGGATGAAACACAAGGAGTAATTTCAGTGGTAGTATTCTCATTTTAAAATTGCTTTTTGCCTGAGGTATGATTTTTCTTCTGGGGTCCCTAACTATAAAATACTCAAGAGCTCAAGAGACCACATGAATAGAAAAGGCAGTAAAAGTTTAGACCTCATGTGGTGGTAAAATGTAAACAATGGGGTGATCTCCCTGATAACATGAATGATGAATGAACTGTGGTCACAGGAACAATGACACCAGTGGAGGTACTGGGAATGGCAACACAGAGACATGGTTTTGGTAGAAATAATTTTCCTCCTTCGGAAATGTCAATGATCTTATTTGGTACCTATTCATTTTTTTCCTTTTTTTTCTTTTGAGACAGAGTCTCACTCTGTCACCCAGGCTTGAGTGCAGGGTGCGATCTCCGCTCACTGCAACCTCCGTCTCCTGGGCTCAGACAATTCTGCCTCAGCCTCCTGTGTAGCTGGGATTACAGGCATGTACCACCACGCTCAGCTAATTTTTGTATTTTTAGCAGTTTCACCATGTTGGCCAGGCTGGTCTTGAACTCCTGACCTCAGGTGATCTGCTCACCTCGGCCTCCCAAAGTGCTCGGATTACAGGCGTGAGCCATGGCACCCAGCCAGTACCTACTCTTGTGTACCTATTTTCATGTGACTGATTCATGACCAATCTATGTTCTGACTAGTTCTCACTAGTCAAGCAGTATAGGTAGCCACACAGTGACTAGATGTGATCTTTCTTGTAAAGTCTCTCCAATATGCAGCAGTTCATATACTCCTTTTTAACTGTAGACAGAAACCTCATCTTTTTTTGGAATATATATATTCATTTAAAAAATAAATCACTGTGAACAACCGAACATGGTAGGATTCTCAGAACAGAGGGTGCTTGTAATTTCTCTCCTACCAGTACTCTAAGCTGCCTCAGTTCCTTGCTCTGGAAGAGCCTAGTTTTGACATACCTAATGGCTCACTACCGGAAAGGAACCAGACAGAGAAAGGCAACCAGAGTTCTACTGCTGAGATCTCAGCTTCATTATGCATGGCACACTCTATGCTCCTCGAGTCTTAAAGGGTACCAGCTAAAGCAGTGGCCACTATATTTTAGCATACCTTCTTTTAAAAAAAATCTGCCAACAAAATGCCCTAACTTAACCCTATAAAGGGCAACCACTGCTGGTGGAAAGGTTGTGGATGAGATACTGACAATACATGCAATTTATCTTTTTCATTTCTAAGGTGTGGCAAAAGCATATTTGACTTACAATAAGCAGAATAGTAGCTGACACAAAGTACCTCAGAAAATGTCAGTCTCTTTAAAGACCAAGATCCAAGAGAAAAATTATACTACTATCATGGGGCTGAATTCATAGTTATTCTTTAAGATACACAGATACACACACTTACACATACACCTGCAACAAGATAATGTCTGTTTATATGAAAATCCAAGAATGCGCCTGTATTTTGAACTTAGAAGAAAATAAGGTAAACCAAGACGGTGTGAAAAAGACTTAGCTCTCCTGGGGAGACAACTATAGCAGCTGAGGTGATTGGGTCATCTTAGCTGTGCAAAAGGAGTGCTGCCATATTCCAGAGAAACTGAGTTAGTCGCTAAAACATTAAATGGGTAACATTAAACATTAGCATTTGGCTAGGGTCCTGCCCTTCTTGGTACTCCAGATAACTAAATCCTCAGTGGAGTATTAAAAGAGCCTCTGGGAAAAAGACTTATCTACCAACAACTCTTAAGTGTTCACTGGCTATGAAATGAAAAACCAATCATCTGTCTTCTGAGTGTTATCAATGATACATATAGTTCTTACAGCCACAACTATTAGGTCAAATAACTCTCAAAAGGTACCGATATAGAAGGAAGGGAAATACCAGTGAGCTGTCTTGACTATACTAAGCATACCTGAAATCTGAATTTGAGAAATATAATAGAACTGGGCTCCAAATTAAGTCTCAGTTGCAAACTGGATTAATGGGGGCTAGATTTCTATCTAGAAGAAAAGAAACACTAATCTGTGTTTTATGACGTTCCTAGTTAAGTATCACAATCAATTATATAATTAAGGCTGTAATCCTCCAGATATAAAATATCACTTTATTTTTTAAAATAAAAAGTAAAAACAAAAACAAACAAAAAAAGCCTGTCATGTTACAATTTTGAGATGGTAGCGAGCATCACAAAAATCAAAAGTCCAACAGTCCCAGAAATCCTGGGACTTACTAAGTATATACAATTACAGAAATAGTCTGGAGACAGTAAGGAATATCCAAATAGCAATGCAGAAGACAAACCTTAATGATGATCTCCTTTTTAACCCTTATAAGTGTGGACACTGCATTTCATATTAAGCTCCATGAAAGCAGAAACCTTCATCAATCTTGTGACCATTTCTCCCTTGTACCTAATAAAGTGACTGGAACATAATAAAATGTGTTGAATGAAAGAAGCGAAATTATCTTCTCTAGAATCATATGAAGAAAAAGGTAGAAAGCTAACTATTTTATGGCACTAAAAGAAAAATGGGGGAAATAATTGTTCTTTCTCAAGTTCTCTTCCCATCCCTTTATATTCACTTTTATGAAGTTCAAAAAATAAAGACAACTCTGGTTCAATATGCCCAAGATACCCTCTAATATGACAGTCACAACTATTTCACCAAAGTCAGAGAAACACTAGGGTTATCATAACATGCTCAGCTTAATATTCACTACAATTGTACAACAGAGCATGGTAGCATAATAACTGAGAAGCTTTAGGTACTAGAGTAAAGGGGATTCTGTCTACTCATATCTTTGGAGGGAGAGCTTCACATTTTCACTTTAACTCCCAAGGTTTCCTGCTCAGGTTTACTAAGTTTCCAATATTTCTACAGTGACAGAAGCCTGAATCCCAGAATTCTGCATCTACGTTATTAAATGTCTCAGTTCTGTTTTTGCATGTCTAAATCTAGGAACTTAAAAAATACTAGGAGTTTAATTTTACTTATTTATTTTTATTGATTTATTTTTGAGACAGAGTCTCACTCTGCTGCCCAGGCTGGAGTATAGTAGTGCCGTCTCGGCTCACTGCAACCTCCACCTCCCAAGTTCATGCAATTCTCCTGCCTCAGCCTCCCAAGTAGCTTGGATTACAGGCACCTGCCACCATGCCTGGTTAATTTTTTTGTATTTTTAGTAGAAATGGGGTTTCACCATGTGGGCCAGGCTGGTCTTGAACTCCTGACCTCAGGTGATCCACCTGCCTCAGCTTCCCAAAGTAATGGGATTATAGAGCTGGGCCACCACACCTGGCCAGCAGTTTAATTTTAAACAGTGTGTGACATCTTGCCTTCTTCGAGAAAGCTATTCAGACAACTACATTTGGTTCCTATCAATCTCATCTGTTGCATATTTGAATGCCCAGCATGCCTAAAACATGACAAGACAAAAGTACCATGAAAATTGTTATTTATGTAGCTCTTTCAGTGAGTGCTTATTTCTTAGGGAGGTTGTGAATGAGATTAAGACAGCCAGAGGAGAAACAGCCAAGGCCTGCCCTACTTTTATGTTACTACTATATTTACAGAAAGAACTCAGGCCAGATTAGGATGATGCCAAAGAACTTGTGCACATGTATGTTCTTCCTCTCTCGAATAACATGCCTGTTACTCAGTTATGGGTGGACAGATTCTCCTTAACCAAATGGAAAACATCCAATTTATAGATATAAAACTACTCTACAGCTGAGTGGACAACTTCCAGAAGAAAAGAAAACCTATTTATGCAAAGCACCTCAAAAGATAAAATCTCTAGCAACTGCTACCTAACCTTTCAAGACTTGTTCAGGCACAAGAATGCCCTTTTACAGGAGGAAAGAGATTCAGAGGCTGCTTTAAACTGAAGTTACAAAGCAAAAGCAGAAGGGAAAAGCAGTCAGGCCCACCAATTTTGTAAGTCAACGTAAAAGATAGGCTTTGGGGGTTCTGATTTGACATTCTAACTATTACATATCAACCTCCCCAAGCTCCCCATTAACCCAAGTAACAGTCTAGTAAGTAAGCAGATATATTGAGAGGCTTTTTGAAATATAAAATGGTTAGTCTGCCACAAGATGGTATGTAAAACATTTCAACAGCACTAACAACTTTCAGTATTTAAAAACACTGAAGAACTCACAGAAAGCCAGGCCATTTTCACTGTTTTCACTATAAGTAAACAAGGTACTGGCTTCACTTTAAAATAAACAAATAAAACTTTTGAATAAGTCATACTTTCCAAACAAACTTCATTTACTTAAAAAAGAAAAAAATCTCACGGGTAGGCTCCGATAGCTTTTTTTTTTTTTTTTTTTTGAGACAGAGTCTGGCTCTGTTGCCCAGGCTGGAGTGTAGTGGCGCAATCTTGGCTCACTGCTGCAACCTCTGCTTCCCAGGTTCAAGTGATTCTTGTGCCTCAGCCTCCTAAGTAGCAGGGACTACAGGTGTGCAACACCATGCCTAGCTAATATCTTGTATTTTTAGTACAGACGCGATTTTGCCGTGTTGGTCAGGCTGGTCTTGAACTCTTGACCTCAAGTGATCTACCCACCTTCGCCTCCCAAAGTGCTGGGATTACAGGCTTGAGCCACTGCACCCAGCCCTCCAAAAGGATTTTTAATCAGTAATACAACAGGTTTTAAATTCAGAATAGAAACATGATGAATAAAAGCTATTATAAAATAAACTGTCGGTATTTTTAAAAGCAGGCAAAATTAAGCAAAGTGAGAAAGAAATTAGGCAAAGTAAAGTAAATTAGACTTTGAACAAGAATTTCAAGACAAATAGAAAATATGGCTATTTTCCTCTGTTACCATGTACCTCCCAAACTACCACTGTTACAACTAAAAAGGAAAGGGAGAGAATGAAAATTTGACAAAGTCACAGGAGTCCTGAGTCATCTATAACATCGGGTAAGTCTAGATTATGTGTTTGGTCAATGACACACTGAAATTTCCTCCAAAGGAGAGTTATTTCTAAATAAGCCAAAAAAACTAAGAATAACAATTCAATTTGGTACATTCTTACACAAAAGGCTAGTCTAGCCAGTCTCTCCCCATCATAAAGAATCAAATTGGAAAGAATTGAAAAGTAAACCAAGTCAATAAAAGGTCACTTTTACAGGTTTATTTGAGTCTCCAGAGTTTTAAATTATCTCATGTCAAATTAACTTGCTAGACAGGGCACCCCCACAATCACATATTTTTAGTTAAATACTAACTCTTTTGCCTAGTTTTCCATCTCAGAATTTGCCTAGAAGTTCTCATTAATAAGAAAGTTAGAATACCCCCAGCCAATCAACATAAATTATCATTAGATGTGACAAGAAATACTAAACCCAATCCCTGCCCCCAAAAGTCATTAGAAAATAATTTAAGGCCAGGTGCAGTGGCTCATGCCTATAATCTCAGCATTTTAGGAGGCCAAAGCAGGAGGATCGTGTGAGCCCAGGAGTTTGAGAACAGCCTAGGCAACATAATGAAACCCCATTTCTACAAAAAATTTAAAAAATTAGCCAGGCATAGTGCAGTGGCTCACACTTGTAATCCCAACTACTCAGGAGGCCAAGGCAAGAGGATCACTTGAGCCCAGAAGGCCAAGATTGCACAACTGCACCCCCAGCCTGAGTGACAGAGTGACACCTGGTCTTGAAAAAAAAATTTAGACACATATATAGACACTATTTTCAAAGAACTATGGTTAACTTATTTCCTTTTTTTAAATTAATTTATGTAAAATTAAAAAAATATATATGGAACGCTTCACGAATTTGTGTATCATTCTTGCACAGAGGCCATACTAATCTCTGTATCATTCCAATTTTAGTATATGTGCTGCCGAAGGGAGCGCTCGTTTTTTATTATTATTATTTTTTGAGACAGAGTCTCACTCTATGGCCCAGGCTGGAGTGCAAAGGCATGATTTCAGCTCACTGAAACCTCCACCTCCTGGGTTCAAGCAATTCTCCCGCCTCAGCCTCCCAAGTAGCTGGGATTAAAGAAGCCCACCACCATACCCTGCTAATTTTTGTAATTTTACATGGGGTTTCATCATGTTGGCCTAACTAGTCTTGAACTCCCGACCTCAAGTGATCCCCCAACCTTGGTCTCCCAAAGTGCTGTGATTATAAGCGTGAGACACCAAAACCAGCCTATGGTTAACTTATTTCTAGTTTGTCTTAAAAAGAGGCTGCAGTACATCAAAACAATGTTTTTCTTATATATATTATTTTTATTTTTAATTATTTTTTATTTTTTAGTGTTTGTAGAGACAGGATCTCATTACGTTGCTAAAGCTGGTCTTAAACTCCTGGGCTCAAGTGGTCCTCCAGCTTTGACTTGTAAAAGTGCTGGGAGGCCATGTGCAGTGTACACATATGTAATCTCGGCACTTTGGGAGACCGAGGTGGGAGGATCACTTGAGCCCAAGAGTTCAAGATTAGCCTGGGCAACACACGAAGTCCCCATCCCCACAATTAAAAAATTTGCTGACACAGTGGTGCATGTCTGTGGTCCCAACTACTCGGAAGGCTGAGGCAGGAGGAACGCCTGAGCCCAGGCGGTCAAGGCTGTAGTGAACCATGATCACACCACTGCACTCCAGCTTGGGCAACAGAGCAAGATGCTGTCTCAAAAAAAAAAAGTGCTGGGATTCTGTGTGTGAACCAACACACCCAGCCTGTATTCTTTTTCTTAAATCAATAATTTCTCTGTCTCCTATTCTGAGCAAATTCCCATATTTCCTACCCTATTTTTCAAAGTAGCATTAATGACTCAGATAAATTTCAGAGAGAATCATCCTTGTGGCTGTAAAAATAAATAAATAAATAAAATGAGCTTTCAAAAGAACAGATGCTCGCAGCTCTTTCCAACTACCTTGTTCTATTCAAGGATATACCTCCCTCTAGCCTGCTGGAAATGACTAGAAGATTAATTAGAGCAGAAATAAAGTGATGAAGTAAAACTGTACAGGTGGAGACAATACTCCATCATACACAAGTCCAGTTCCTAGTACCAAACCAATATTGGATTGTGTTTAGATGCCATTAAGTCATAGGTGGCTTAGAGGCATGAGACATAAATTCTTCCCCCTACTTTAGAGCAGGAGACACTTCACTAATGTTTGGTCATCACACCAGGACAAGAAAATGCTACATATCATGTGTAAGAAAAAGCTCCCAGTTACACAGTCATATATATAACCTAAAACATCAGTATTAATACATAAGCTAAAACATTACTATTAAGAAAACGAAAACTAGGCAAGGGAAAATTGCCCATTTTGTACTTACCAGAATTCTGGATCCGCCATGTTTTCACAAACTGAGTATCAGGAGGTATTGACTCCCCTTCTCCTATGGTGACATCTTCAACAAAGGACATAGAGGGCACACTGATGTTTGGGCTCTCAAAGTCATAATAGGCGCCAATTGCTGCTTGTAGGTTCCTACAAAAAAAAAAAAGAGAGAAAAGGCAAAAGACTTCAGTACTATCCAGATGATATTATTCTAATTGTTAAACAAAAGGAAAAATCCTGTTTCTTAGGGTTTGTCATAGAACCTGAGGCTCCTGGTGTACAAGTCTTTAAAGCCTTGTATTCTGGCTGAGGAACAATAGGAAAAATACCAGGACCAACAAATTTGTGTATCACTTTCTCCCCACATAGAAAGTAACAAACATTAGTAACATCAGCAACAGTATGAGGAAATCTCCCTTGTTACCCATAGGAAATGGGTAAAGAAATCAATTAAAAGAGCACAGTATAACTATGGAATTCAAAGAAGCACTACTTTTTGTTTTGTATTATTATTTTTTAATATTAAAAAAAAAGAGAGAGAGAGAGGTTTTGCCATGTTGCCCAGGCTAATCTTGAACTCCTGAGCTCAAGTGATCCACCCACCTCAGCCTCCCAAAGTGCTAGGATTAATGGCATGAGCCACGGTGCCCAACCAGGAGCTCTACTTTTTAAAATAAAATAATGCATGCATATCATTTGAAAAGTTTCACACAAAGAAAACCATATTATCTTTTTCCCTCAACACACACAGACATAACTGTTCATATTACTTTCTTTTTTTTTTTAATTTTTCTTTTAAGATGGGGTTTCGCCATGTTGGTCAGGCTGGTCTTGAACTCCCGACCTCAGGTGATCCGCCCACCTTGGCCTCCAAAGTGCTTGGATTACAGGCATGAGCCACCACGCCTGGCCATATTACTTTCTTAAATATCCTTCCAGAACTTTCTTACACACAGTCAAGCAAGCATGATATACCATCTTGTTTTCCTCCTTTTTTATACAAAAGGTAGCATAATATACAATGCCCTTTGCTTCATTCTCTTAATACTCTATCTTGAAGACATCCCTGTGTTAGCACATAAAGAGGTTCCTCACTGTTTTTTACAGCTGTAACCACTATACAGATGGATTATCATTTAACCAGTCGACTTTTGAATTAGTTTCCAATCATTAACTCTTCCATAAATAAGCTTAAGCACACATAGTTTTTTATACACGCAAGTGCATTTGTGAGATAAAGTCCTATTAAGTGATATGGCTTGGTCAGAGTTCGTAGTTTTAATAAATATATCCAAACTTCCCTCAATAAAAGTTGTACACTAATGCTTCCACCAAGAATGTAAGAGTGTGCCTATTTTCCCCACTTGCTCATCAGTGGTGTTTCTCTAACATTTTGGATGTCTCCCATTAATAGGTTCAAAAAACAGTATCTCAGTGAGATCTTGAGAGGTTGAGTATCTTCACGTTTAAGAGGCACTTGTAGTTTCTTTTTTGGAAGTATCATTTGGTAAATGTTGGTGTTCTTTTTAATTACTCATAAATCCCCTTTCATCAGAAGGAACTACCAAGCACATAAACCAGAGTTTCCAAATGAACAGAAGCGCGTGATTGTCAGCTTGGCTGATCAGTGCCAGAAACCAAGGGCCACTAAAGCGTTTCAGTAAGCTGTGTTCATTACAGAGATCAAGGAAATTGTTGGTAATTACATTAACTGCTTCTCTTCTGGTCTTACTCAAACGAATGACATCATCCCCACTTCCCACACTATACAACAATCCAAACTGCATGTTTCTAAACATAATCCAACCATAAACCAATGAATTCACTGAGCTGTTTTTAATTATACATAAACATAGCATGAAACAAGCTCTGACAGTACACAACTGATCAACAGAAATGCTAGTAACAGCAAATAATTTTCTGCTGGGGGCCTGCCTGCTCCTCCAGGTGCTTGCAGCTGCCGGAAAGGAAGGCTATATTTAGAGCAGGTACCTGAGGTCAAGCCTCATGCAATGGTGGCCTGACATTATTAGTCAGTAATGACTGGAATTACAATACCAATCGCCTGCCTATGTATGGTATGTGTGCTTGATAACATTTACATATAGAGAGCTGGGCTGGGGCCAAACTGGATCTCTTTGCTTGACTCTCTCTTCAATACAAAGGCTTGGACTTTTAGTCTTTTCAGCAGTTTCCTATCTAGCTCACAGAGATCTTAAGTGAAGGATGTTTGTGGCTGGTCAAACTCGGAGAAGTCTAGCCCTTACCATCCACAAACAGGCTTAGAAGTACATCTGGAATTAGCATTATACTTAGGGATCAGGGATAATATGAAAGAAAAATAAGCCTAGTTTGCAATTTGCTCTTTTGAAAACATTTTGGAAAAGCTGTATGTCTACCTTTTTGAAAAGAGAATCTTTTTTGCATCAGGTCTTCAACAAGTAGCCTGCTAAATTGTTTTCTGTTCACTTGGCTTTAAAATATGTTTGGGAGTGAAGAAACTATTTGTGCACTCGGGACAATTGCCAATTCTCATCCCCAGCCTGTGTCATATTTCACCCCTTGGCTCTGCTATCAGGACAGGACTTCAAGACCACTGCAGTAGGAAAACTAGTAAGTGGAAAAGTCAAGCTACCCAATTTAAGCAGATCCATTCCTATCCTCAAATATCCTTTCACACATTTCCAACTTACCCTACAGTCAAAGCTTATTTGTATGTGTATTATACAGGTAATTTAGCCAGACAAAGATTAAGAAACATTTTAAATCCCAAACTGAAACTGAAAGCAGCGAACTGGAATCCTGGCAGGAAGCTGGAGAAGAGAATGACAAAGCAAATTCATTTCCCAAGGACAAGGCAGAAAGTGGACTTTAGCCCAAGTGATCTAACACATCAAGCAGGTACACAGCTATAAATGTGGGGTACACAGCTTCTCAGAGTTCAGAGCATTTAAATTAGTGGCCCACTAGGCTGAGCAACAGCAAGCATAGACCAAACAGCTCCAATTCAGTGTCAGAAAGCAGACATGACAGCAGGTATTCTTGTTCAAAACAACATACTCAGCTATTATTAGCCAAAAAGAAATTCTTCATGAAATGGAGCTGGCTGAAGTGATGGGAAAAGAAAAACATTGACCCAGCATTTAGTGTAATCTAAAAGTTTAAACTTCCAGATTCCTTCAGTGTTTCTGCTCAAAAAAGTTTTAAATCTAATTTTAGATGGTTAAAAGTACCCTGAAGAACAAATGGAGGCAATGTAACAGTGAAAACAAGCACAGGTTAAGATGGATGGTGGTGCCAGGTGCAGTGACTCACGCCTGTAATCCCAGCACTTCGGTAGGCCAAGGCGGGTGGATCACTTGAGGTCAGGAGTTTGAGACCAGCCTGGCCAACATGGTGAAATCCCGTCTTTACAAAAAATACAAAAATTAGCTGGGCATGGTGGATGCCTGTAATCCCAGCTATTTGGGTGGATGAGACAGGAGAATCACTTGAACCCAGGAGGCGGAGGTTGCAATGAGCTGAAATTATGCCACTGCACTCACTCCAGCCTGGGCAACAGAGTGAAACTCTGTCTCAAAAAAAAAAAAAGATGGATGGTGATTATAGTTGCACATTGCCAATATAGCTAATGCCACAGAATTGCATACTTTAAATGGTTAAAATGGTAAATTTCATGTCATGAAGATTTTACCACAATTAAATAATTTTTTTCAAAGGGTATGGTCTTTAGGCCAGGTGCAATGGCTCACACCTATAATCCCAGCACTTTGGGAGGCCAAGGCAGGCAGATGGCCTGAGGTCAGGAGTTCAAGACCAGCCTGGCTAACATGGGGAAACCTTGTCTCTACTAAAAATACAAAAATTAGTTGGGTGTGGTGGTGGGCGCCTATAATCCCAGGTACTCAGGAGACTGAGGCAGGAGAATCACTTTAACCTCAGAAGGAAGAGGTTGCAGTGAGCTGAGTCCGCACCACTGCACTCCCCAGCCTGGGCCACAGGGCGAGACTTCATCTCAAAAAAAAAACAAAACCAAAAAAAACAGTGTGATCTTTAGAGTCAGCTCCAATCCTTGGCTGTGGGGGCTTTGAGCAAGCAGCTAAGCCTCTCCATCAGTTTTACTCATCTGTAAAACTGAGTTGATACCACCTATCTCATTATAAGGTTGGCTGTGAAGGCTGCTGAGGCAATGTATGCAATTGTCCTAGGTTGGCAGTCATTCATTCAACAAATATTTAATGAATAAGCATTTATCCTTATGCTAGGCACCTGGCCTGAAGCATTGGGGATACAGCAAATTGCAAGACAGGCATGGCCTCTGCCTTCAGTGTTTATAGTCTATAGCCAACCAGGGACTTTCAAACAAAGGTAATTCCAAATGCCTCTCACTCAGAGGCTATGGGCCCAAAGCAGCTTTTCCTGCTTAGGGTGAAAGATGGGCTTGGTACACAGCATAGTTTCAACTGCACTGACAATGAAGTTAACCTGAACTGGAGAAGAATTTGGTGACACTGACATGTTTCCTAATGAAATACAACTTTGTTCAATCTTCATTTTATAGTTGAGGCTACTGAGGCACTGACAGGTGAGGTAATTTGCCCTAGGCTAGGCAATCAATAGAATTCAGAGCCACACCTATTCAAAAGTTTTAACTTACCCAGAATTTTCCAATTATATAACACTCTGAACATCTGATTTTCTTAACATACTAATTACCATTATGAATTCTATAAGTGAGCTGTAATCCCCATTAAACTGAATTCTTTAAAGAATTAATCTTGCAGCCGGGCAAGGTGGCTCACGCCTATAATCCCAGCACTTTGGGAGGCCAAGGCAGGCAGATCACCTGAGGTTGGGAGTTTGAGGCCAGCCTGACCAACATGGAGAAACCCCGTCTCTACTAAAAAATATAAAACTTAGCCAGGCGTGGTGACACATGCCTGTAATCCCAGACTCGGGAGGCTGAGGTAGGAGAATCGCTTGAACCCAGGAAGTGGAGGTTGCAGTGAGGCGAGATTGCACCACTGCACTCCAGTCTGGGCAACAGGAGCAAAGCTCCAACAAAAAAAAAAAAAAAAAAAAAAAAAAAAAAAAAAAAAAAAAAAAAAAAAAAAAAAAAAGAATCTTGCATATATTCACAAACATAGAAC